GTGATCCATTTCTTATCGGCGTGAAATGAATGCCGTCCTATCAAATTTCGTCACAAATCCACAATTAATGTTAAATTTAACCGTCCTCCTCCACCACCACCCCCTCCACCCCCGCTCCGTAAACCAATTGTACTTCAATTCCACCTCCAGTCTGGTACCAAATACTCAAAAATATGGAGAGGGGGATTGTTAGTCGGCTCCTGTTTCATATTCAAGTCACAGTATAAAAATACTTTTTACTTCAGAAAAGTCATCCCTAAGATCCTGCTCTGAAGGACAAGACATAAAAATTATATGGGCTAATATCCCTTAGTAATGAGTAATATACATGTACGTGTACGGAGCAAAAATCCTTGCGACCTCAGCTGCTCCACCAAGCAGAGAAAATTTGTGGTCATTGAACTGCCCATCGCGTCACAGATATACCACTCTCGTGAATGGATAATATCAGTTGTAAATTTCCATGAGTGTGTAGAATGTTTGCCATAGACGGGATCACGCGAGGTGTAAACTCGTCGATGTGTTTGTTTTTCCCAAATATCACACTTTCATTTCAGTTTGGGCCTAGTGCCTGAACTTACAACACCTGTGGGCAGCTATATAGGGCCAAAAAGACCACACCAAACTCTGAACTCGTTGGTGCTTTTGTTCCCTGACCATCGCATTAATTTTTCCTTTAGTTTTGCTCCCGAATTTGCTTGGCACACTCGCACGCATACTCGGGGGACTGTCCGATACCTAGCAAGGTAGATCTACACCAACTATTAGGCTTCACTTATCCCCTTCCCCATAAAGAAAGAAAGAAAGAAAGAAAGAAAGAAAGAAAGAAAGAAAGAAAGAAAGAAAGGAAGAAAGGAAGAATGAAAGAAAGAAAGAAAGAAAGAAAGAAAGAAGAGGGGCTGGTTAATAACATGAGATACGATACGCCCTATAAGCTGAAGCTTTAAATTATTTTGACAGACAATTCTGGGTGGATCTAGCCCCACCCCACCCCACCCCCTCCCCCAGAAAAAGATTTTGTGCTCGTCCATAGCGTCAAGTTGAATAATTATAAATAATATGTCTGGGGGGTCAAATGCTTGCTGTTCGTCGAAGCGGAGCGAGATATTATCATCTACGGGGTTAGGGGAAGCCAGTTTCAATGCCGTGCTGTGATTCAGACTTTATTCATTACTTGAATTTGTTGGTTTTTCTAGCGAGACAAGTCAAGAGCTTGTAGTTTGCTTAAGAACGTTAACTGTCTAATGACTACACAAGGTTTTGTGCTGATTTTTCTTTCTCTTGTGCGTTGTGCAACTGCTCTTTTAGAGACCCAATGGATATGTTATTCTTGGTTAGTCTGGGGTCAGCATTAGTTGGTGAGAGCAGGGTGGGGGAATGAGAGAACTATTGCTGTTGCGGAAGAGCAGGACATTGGTGTTACTGTTGTTGTTGCTGTTATTGGGGAGGCAGATGAGGAGCAGGTTGTTGTTGTTAATGTTTTTGTTGTTGTTCTTGTCGTCGTCGTCGTCGTCGTCGTCGTCGTCGTCGTCGTCGTTGTCGTCTACGTGTTTGTTGTTATTATTTTTTATACGTTGTTGAAGAGGAGGAAGTGCTGTTGTTGCTGCTGTTGTTGGAGAGGAAAAAGGGGAGAAGGAGGAGGTTGTTGTTGTTGTTGTTGTTGTTGTTGTTGTTGTTGTTGTTGTTGTTGTTGTTGTTGTTGTTGTTGTTCTCGTTGTCATTATTGTATTTTTGCAATTTTTTTGCAATATTGTTGCTGCTGTCGCTTTTAAGTTCAGTAGCTAATGATAGAGGAAACGGTGATGACTTCTCTTGAGTGTTTTCCCCTCTTCATTTAGCAAGTGTGTCCTTTTGTATAAAAAAAATTTCCTTCATTATACTGGAAAAGCATTGGTGAAAAAAACTGTT